TCTGTGAAGCCTGAAGGGACACAATCGGAAAACAGGAGACCGAGAACCGAAATGAATACATTCGAGAATGGGAAAAATGCAAAAGGGTCTGCAGCTTCTGCAGGTCGAGCTTCTTCAAAAGGGACTAGACTCGGGCTGCCCATCCTAGACTCTTCCATGGGGTTTGGAGTACCTCCGCACACAGTTCTGGGGGACTTTTGCAAAGGCAAGATTGTTCCATTGGTGTACTGCTGGAGCTCCTCTTTCACTTCACTCTGCTAAGGAAAGTTTAACACTAGAGGTAACAAAATAATTCTGGGGGCAAGACTGACCATGTGGACAGGGAACAACATTTCTCTGGGAGATTCAGGAGAGGAATCCAGAGAGGAGGGGTTAGATGGTTAGAAGAAAGACACCAGGATAAGGAGTGATGTTAGTGACCAGGTGTGCCCACAAGGAACTCCCTATGAATAACCGAACCTCCTACATGTACTTTGGGAAAAATCGTATTAGACCCTCAGTGTAAGTCTCCTTCCTCCACCATCCCGTATTATAATAATTTCCACCTCAATTGCAATGCACCCTCTCTTTCCTCCCACCCCCAAAGCCAAAGTCTGATTAACCGTACAGGCTCATGTAACGGTATCTTAGAAAGTAAAGGGAGTATATGATAAACAAAGCGTGGCCTGCCCCACATTCACTCCTCCACCGGTACAAGTAGAGGAGCCCTTTTGGCAGGGGACCATGCCTAAGAATTCCAGGCAGGAAGCAGCCATGAGCAGAGGAGGAAGCACATGACATTGAGGAACAGCATCTAGTAGACAAGTCAGGTGGAGTACAGACAAAACATTTCCATATACTTGAAGAGGAAAGTAAACTTTTAAGGAGGGCAAGATGATATCTGGGGCACAAATGGATTAGGATCCAGGCATTTCATCCCACCCCAAAGTGGAGAAGTGAGTTGCAATGGATTTGTCAAGGTCAAGGCCACATTCTCTAGGGTGGGGCCTTGGGTGAGGATATAAAAATATTTACACAGAAATCATCTTTTTGTTTAACGTTCATTTATTTTTGAGAGATAGAGAGAGTGCAAATGGGGAAGGGGCAGGGGGAGGGGACCAAGGATTTGAAGCAGGCTCTGCTTTGACAGCAGCAAGCCATATGTGGGGCTCAAACTCACGAACCTTGAGATCATGACCTGAGCCAAAGTCAGAGAAGCTCTACTGACTGAGCCATGCAGGCGCCCCTACACAGAAATCATCTTAAATAAAACTATTGCAACTGAATAAAGGAATCCTCATAAAATGGACCCAAGGCCAAAAGGAATTCTCAAGCCCCATCACCCATGGTCAATTGCAGACCCTAACAGGAAGAGATTTATACACTTTCCCAACAGGAAGGAGCCGATTTTACTACTCCAGCAGGAGTAGAAAGCAAAGGGAGTATTTCTTCTTGCCTGGTAGCAAACTCAGCCAATAAGAAAATGCCACAACTCAGCCAATGAGAAACCATCACCAGCCTGAACTCATGCTTTCCTTAATTGGACTCTGGCTCAAAGCAGCCCCTTCCAATGTTTACCTTTCCTCTATAAAGTAATGTTTCTCTCCTTTGATCTCTGCACTTTCCTATGGTTTGCCATGGCATACATGTCCTGAATTGAAATTCCTCTGCTATTCCCAATTAAACCCATTTTATTCATAAAGTAACTGACTGTTTCACTGGTTTTTTTTAATGTTTATTTACTTTTGAGAGAGAGAAAGACAGAGTGTGGAGTGGGGGAGGAGCAGAAAGGGAAGGAGACAAAATCTGAAGGAGGCTCCAGGCTCTGAGCTGTCAGCGCAGAGCCTGATGTGGAGCTCGAACTCACGAACCGCAGGATCCTGACCTGAGCCAAAGTCGGGCGCCCAACTGACTGAGCCACCCCGGCACCCCACAGCTGTTTCACTTTTAAGAATGATACTAAAAAATAATAAACCAAGATAGATGCTTCCACATCAAGTGACAAAGAATTATGACCTCAACATACAGAATGCCTACAATTCAGTGAGAAAAGACAACATAATAGAAAATCTAAAATAATAGCACACTCAAGATAAAGCAAGGAGGCTTCATTTACAAAAGACTATTTGTATAGTTGTGTGTATAGGACAGCCACAGTTACCTGAGGCTATTGGCAGCCAATCAGGAATCATTTCTATGTGTGAAAATAGGAGAGAAAAATTACAGGAGCCTAGAAGAAGAGAGGGTCACCTGAGAAGAACAATGACCTTTTTCCAAAGCCAGTCAGAGTAAATACTTGGAGTTTATTTTCTTCCCACCTCTAATCTCCTGCCAGGTTCTCCACTGGCTAAACCCAGCAGGGAGCCTTAGGGCACTGGGGCATTGCTAATGAAGGACAGAGAAGTCAAACTTCTAGGAGACAGCAGGGCAGAGTAGGAAGACTGTGAATCCTCAAGCAGCAGACAGAAGACACCCAGCACAGAAGGAGAAAATATGAATATGCAATTACAGGAAAAGAAATACTAAGAGTATAATGGCCATGTGAGACTAGGTCAAATTTCCCCAGCCATTTATTTTTTAAGTTTATTTATTTATTTTGAGAGAAAGAGGGAGAGTGCAAGAGCAGGGAAGGGGCAGAGAGAAGAGGAGACTGAGAAGCCCAAGCAGGCTCCGTACAGTGAGCTCAGAGCCCAACACCTGGCAGATCCCAGGAACCATGAGATGATGACCTGAGCTGAAGTCAAGAGTTGGACGTTCAACCAACTGAGCCACCCAGGCTCCCTCACCAGCCATTTAAAGATCAGATTCCTAAGTGAGACTTCCTGAGAGTACCTGGTCTACTACTTAATTATGTACTCTTGATTAGGTCTTGTTCTCATCATTGGGGTAATAAATGGGGTCATAATAACACATCATAGAGTTACCCTAAGGATCAAATGGGAAAAGGTATGTCAAGCACTGAGCCAGGGCTTGACATGGGGTAAGCAGTCAATACATGAAACCTTTTTTTCCCCCTTTCAAATTGGTAAATGATAAAGATCTATAATACTTGGTATTGGCGAGGTTATGGGGTAAAAAACATATTTTATTGGTAGTACAAATCAGTATATAACTTTTGGGAGGGTAACTTGACAGTATTATAACTTAAAATAAGAGTAAACAATTTTATGTGTAATAATTTATCATACACAACTTCTTTTAGTAACACGTAGGGACATATGTCTAAAGGTGTTCAGTGCCATACTGCAGTTGGGAAAGGTTGGAAACAACCTAAATTTACGCAATGAAACTCTACGTACCCATTTGTGTCAGTTTTCTATTGCTGTGTAACAAATTACCTTTGGAAACTTCAGAAACTTAGCCTCTTAAAAACAAGAATTTATTATCTCATAGGTCATGCAGGCAGGAATCCCTGCGTGGCCTAGCTGGATACCCCAGATCAAGATCTTATAAGGTTGTATTTCTATTGACCAAGGCTGTGATCTCATTTGGTGGCTCAGTAGAGGGAAGGAATGTAGAGATAGAGATATGCATCTTTTATTCCTGCATTGGATTCCCCATCTGGTTCAGACCGGCATAGGTATCCTCTCTTCCCATTGGAGTGGTAAGACTCACAACAAGGGTTTGCACTTTGGGGTGGAAGCAAACAGAGGAGGCCTTCTGTTTGCCTTGATGCTAGCTCCTCCAGGACAGTCTGCCTTGGGTTAAGACCCCCTTTCTTTTGAGAGGAAGCACAGTGATCTAAAGTTGAAGTCTGAGCTAATCACAAGGTCTTGCCTTTCCTTGCTTTGTTCTCTGTGAATGTATTTCCCCCTGGTACCTTAGGAGAAGGGATTGGCACCTACAGCAGAATTAAGAATATCTTGTATTACAGCAGGTATTAGCCAAATCCATGTCTAAACACATCATCCTCTTCAAATATGAGGCCACATCTATCATGAAATTGTTGTCTAAGAAGCCTTCTCTCGAGTCTGAACACTCCCTATCCTTATCATTTTCCCTCAAATGAGGTGTTTTTTGTTTTTGTTTTTAAGTGTATTTATTCATTTTGAGAGAGACAGAGACAGTGTGAGTGGGGGAGGGGCAGAGAGAGAGGGAGACAGGGCATCCCAAGCAGGCTCCACACTGCTAGCACAGAGCCTGACGCACGGCTCGAACCCCTGAAACTGTGAGATCATGACCAGAGCTGAAACCAAGAGTCAGACGCTTAACCGACTGGGCCACCCAGGCGCCCCAACGTCGGTTTTATAGCCATGATCGTTTAGTTGACTTTAAAGTCATTGTATGGTGCTCCCTAAATATTTGACGAATGAATTTATTGATTCAATAATAAACATTCTAATTGATCAGTGTCCTTAAATCATCACTAGGGCACAATAGCATTTTAAGGGCAGTGTATCAGCTAGGATGCTTTGGATTGCACAAAAAAGAAAAACTGACATCAAGCTGACTTAAACAATAATGGGATTCATCAGTTCACGAAACAAGGAATCCAGAAGTTGTAGAGATGCAATGGCTTCAGAAGGAGAGATTCACATGGTGGTGGAGGCCCTGGCTCTACTTGTCTATTATGCTCTCTGCGTGGCTTTCAGACTTGGTCCTCAGGCTGGAGTCTCTCCTGAGAGCAAAGTACCTACAGCTGTTGACTATAAGGCAAGTCATGCCCACCCACAGAACAGAGCTTCCTTTTCCCTGACCACCAAGCCAAAGGAGTGTTACCTGTATCAGATCAACTTGGGCCACCTTCCCAGCCCTGAACCAACCACTGCTTGCGCTGTTTGACTTGGACTTGGGGAAGTGCCCCTTTAAGCCAATGACTGATGGCAAGAGGATGGGGCTTCTAGGCCAGTCAAATCCTCCCTCCACTCTATCCCGGTATGGAGAGGTGGGAAAACCTCACCCAGATCCCATGGCTGGGAAATATAGATACTGCTAGGGAAAGAAGAAATGGAACTTGACTCTTCCATTATGTATTCAGCTGGTGTTGACTCAGTCCTGACTAGACACTCTTCCACACCCAGGGAATACAACAGAGAACAAATGGACAAAGTCACTGCTGTCATGGAAGGGAGATGAAAAAGTAGCACAGAGGTAAGTCAGGGAGGGTAAGAATTCCTGGGATCACAGAGAGCTGCTGTTCTACAGAGGGTTGTTGGAGAGATGGGTCAGAAAAGGTGACATCTGAGACGTAATTTGGAGGAAATGAGGGAGAGTGAAGAATACAGGGAGCCACTAAGTCAGAACAAGGCCTGAGGTGGGAGAGCGCATGTCCTGTGTGATTCACAACCACGAGGGCTGTGTGGAGCCTGCTAAGCCATGGCAAGGACTGTGAGCATGGGGCTAGGGATGACATCAGCCAGGTCTGGTTGTTAACTGTGGTGGCCACACTGTTGGTTGCTCTGACCCTGCCGTCTCTACTTATTCCCTACCACAGAGCTCATCTCCATGAAAGGTTGCAAATACCAGATGCCTGCCTTGCCTGCCTTTCAGTCAACGCATGAACGAGTCGTCCAAAAATTCCCACAACGGTTCCATAAGTTGTAGCTTATGGTCAAATAGATGGGAAAAGGGAGAGACCGCAAGTCACGAGCCAGTCAGGAGGCTTTCACCGGATTCTAGAACAGAGGTAAGGTATGTCTGAAGAGCAGTAATGGTCATAGGACAAGAGATATGGGTTGAGCGAGGCAGAGATGACAGACATGGAAGTGACAGTTTCTGGGAACTGGATGTGAGCAGAAAGGGAGAGAGGAGTCAGCTGAGGAGGTGGTGAGTGGGAGAGTGACAGAACCTTCTGGAGCAAGGGCCACAGTGTGGCTAGAAAAAAATGAATCTGGTGAGGTGGTGGCTGTGAGGTGGTGGCCATTAGTTCAACATGGAGTACATCAACATGCAAGGGAAGGGAAAAGATTCCCATCTTGAGAGACTATCTAAAAGGCAAGAATAGAAACTCACCAGACTTGTTCACAGATCTGGTCTATGTATAGGTTATTCATTCTACCCCCCCACTTCCTCCACCTCCCCCCCACCACCCCATGCTCTTTGCCTGGCAAACTCCTATTTATTCTTCTACACTCAGATTAATTCCCAACTCTTCAGTGAAGCCTCCTTATCCTACCCCGACGCAGAATTTGTTCCTTTCCTATGTTCCCAGAGCCTTTTGTGGACACCTGCATCCTATCATTTGCCACACACAATGCATTGTCATTTCCCTGCTCCCTCCCTCTTCAGTGTTAGACTGCAGGTGCCCTCCCTAGAGACCAGCTTAATGCTTTTTGTATTCCTGGCATTTAATACTGTGCCTAGAAGACATAATAGGTAATCACCAAATGAGTGATGAATGAACGAGTGAATAAATGAATGAAATATTGATCATAGAAAAAAGGTAGAAGTTAAAAGTGTTAGCAGAGAGTGATGAAATTTTGAAACATTTAAGTTAGGATATTTTGACATCCATGGAGAATGGTGGAGTAGATGAGGTTATCCTTGGAAACTCTTAGAGTCTATATGTGGAAGGAGGAGATCTAAATCTGAGCTGACATCAGATATGAAGAGGGATTACAGTCATTACCTGAGAATAGCTCAAGAAGGGTGCTGAGAAGTGAGTGAAATATTTGATGAAGGTGAAAGCCAGAGCCCGCAGAGAACCTGAAGGTCAGGAAATCAGGAGAATAAGTCTTTAGGATTTTCTGGAAACATAGCAGTCACATTTTATGATGCAATCATGGCAATGCAATCATGGAAATCTTACATACTCAACGTTGGTTTTTCCATAGGACTCAATGTAAGCGGGGGGGGGGGGGGGGGTTCATTCTCGGCTGTCAGGTGTATAAACATGATAGTTTTGTGCCATTTTTCAGGGGGGGCTGATCTTGCAGCCAGGCCAATGGCATTTTTTTCATTGTTTCCATTCTTCTCCCCCTTTCTGAGGACAATTTGAGAAGATTAAAGTTATGCTGGCTATAATCCTTGTATTTTCTCATTTTATTGCAATGATTTCATAGTATATTCTATCTCAGTTGTTCTCAACCCAGAAGAATCTGAGCCTCTCTGCTGCCTCCACCACCACCAAAATGGAAACATTTTGATCGTCACAACTGGCATCTAATGGGTAGAGGAGACCAGGGATGCTGCTAAATATCCTACAATGCACAGGAGAGCCCTATGTGTCAATAGTGCCCCAATGTCAATAGTGCCAAAGTCAAGAAACCCTTAGAGTCTCCCCTATATAAACAACACAGACATTATGGCACTTGTTTGGCTGGCCAGCTTGAAAATTTTGTGGTTCTTCATAAATGCAGAAAAGGTAGAGGGATTTCCTTTATTTCCATTTTGGAGACTTTGTTGACAGCTAATATTGCACTTCAAATTTTATCACACCTTTAGTCCACGTTCACATCAAGGGTGGATTTTCAGTCACTTTTTTTCAAGACTAACACTAACATCACCAATTTAACAAGCACTTAGGTGACATTGCTGAAGGGCTATAACAACAGGAAAGGTTAACGCAGAATGACAATAGTCACTAAAATCACGCCCAGAGTCTTAGTAGAGTTAGAGGAGGTGTGAAGTAGCGGTTGGGGACACAGCCTCCGAGGGAATGATCTGGCCACATCTCAGCTCTGGCACTTTCTTGCCAGTCACTGGCCTCTGGCAATTGCCTTTCTGGGCTTCAGTTTTCTCAGTGGGGGATAAGATTATCACAGAGTCCTTCCTCTTAGAGTTGTGAAAATTAACTACTGACACACATAAAGAGATTAGAGAGTACGATAAGGTGCCCAGGATGGCAGGCGCTTCTCTCTACTAGTCAAAGTGGGCCTGCTGCATGACCATCGCATGAGGCGAGTTGATATTTTCTTGACTGATCAGCTTTAAAATTCTGTGGTTCTTGACAGATGTTAAAATGTGGGAGCAAGTCCCCTTTTATTTCCATCTTTGAGGTGAAAATGAGACGTGGTCGTTCTCATATTGTGCTTCAAAGTCACACAAAGAGATCAGTGAGTGTGGCTGCGCTGTAAGTCTTCAGGGAATAATAGTTATAATAGCAGCAGGAGCAAAAGCGTTCCCCATATGTGAGACAAGGGGCATTATTCGGTAGCTGTTGTTTTCTTCAGTTCCACGATGCGCCACAAGAGAGTTCCAGAAGACCGTTTTAAAAAACTTAAAGAGGGCTGCTTTTGGTTCTGTTTAAATTGTACCATAAATGGTCACAAGACGGTGCCAAAAGATTCCTTTTGGAAACCTGATTGGTCAGTTCCTTGTTTGGTTGTTTAAATTAGACCAAAAAAAATAGTACATGAGTATATTTAATTGAAACAAAAATACAACACATGGGGTTAAGTACAAACATTTCAATTCAAATTTTCAATTTTTTTTTTCTCTTTGTTCTAGATTCTAGTCATAGAAAAACTCCTGGAAAAATTTTTCTGTTTCCATTAATCTATTGAAGATTTAATGAAAAACTTTTCAAAAAACATTACACGTCACTGGTGGTGATTTAGCACCCCCGTCGCATAGAAAAAAAATGGGGTTCCTGAGATCTGCTATAAAGAGCCCCAGTGCCCTGCTTTGACAGATTACTGTGAAGGCAGAGTTGCCTTGGTGACTCCGGGTTTCTCTTCCAAGTTCATACCTGAGCAAATGAGAGACAGTGCGGGGAACATAGCAGCATGGCTTTCTGGGGTGCTGGGCTCTGTTAAAGGAAAGCTCCAAATAGGATTTTCAATCACAAAAGTTATCAGCACACAAGGTCTTTTTTCCCAGTCCCTGTCTCCTCCCTGGAGGGAAGGGGTGGGGGGAGGGGTGTCAATCCCCTGAGGCCGTGGGTGGAGCCTGAGGAGCCTCTTACCTTAGCGCACCAAACCCCGCCCCCGTCCCGCCCCTGGTTGTCCCCAGGAGGTGGAAAGAACCTACTGAGAAACACACTTTCCAAATGGCGCATGTGCACAATTTTCGAGAGCATGAGGTAATAGCCCCGGAGAAAAAGCCCTTGAGGTCTTTCAGACGTCCCAATAGGACTATTCAAATAGCGATAATTCCTTGGAAATTGTTATTTCACTTTCTCTCTTTCATACTTCTGTAAAGTACAGACTTAAGAACAATAATGAAGTAAGAGCCCTGGAGTCTGGAGCCAAAGAGTCCCAGTTTTGGCAGCGAAGGGAAGAGTAGAAGAGGGAGGAGGAGAGAAGAAGGCAAGAGGGAAGAGGAGGTGAGGATCGAATGAGTGCTCAGTGCCGGTGCTGTGTGAGCACCTACCCTCCGTGCCCACTCATTTAATAATCAAAAGAATTCCACTGATTTGGTGCTTTTGGCTTCACTGACAGGCAAAGAAAGAATTTGAGAAGTGACTTTTACAAGGTCACACACCAGTAAGGGGTGAAATCAGAAGTCAAACCAGATAACTAAGAGATGCCAAATATGTGGGTTTTTAATAAAAGCCTACTATTAACCATCCACAACCTTCGGGGTTTACTCTGTGGTGGTGGTTGACGGAGCAACATACAAAAAACAGGTTGTTTGCCCTCTGTTGCTTTGACTGAGGGGGCAATGACCACAGAGGATACCCATTTGACTCAGACGCTCTTGCTGGGAGGTCCCCAGTGTAGAGCAGAAGAAACTCCTTCATGCTCTGGGCCGTGGCCTGCCTGGTAAACACTTCCTGGGTCCCTCCAAGGTGGTAGTTTCCCTTCTACTGTTTATTGATGCGCTACAAAAAGGAAAGTGCTTGTAAACAACTTGAGTGCATGAACAAGCTAATTAAAATAATTAATAGCTTGTGAAAAAAGTAGTAAAACTAATTATTATAGATTGGCCCTGTGGGAAGAGGAAAATTGCTGACATTCTTCAGGTCTAAGCTGATCCATCTGAGACAGAAAAGCACAGTTTACCAGGTCCCTTCAGAGGATATGGTTTCTTCCCAGCCCAGATTCAAACTCTCCTGCTTCTCATCCCAACCTGTAATTTCCTTCTTGGCAGTTCCTCTATGCAAGTGACCCTCCACTGATCCTCACTCCAAACCGTTCCCTCTAGGCAAGCATCTGACTTTCCTGTTTTTAACTTAAAGAATCATGAAAGTTTTGACTCTGAGAAGCACGGCATTGAAGGACGCTGCAGACCTCTAGTAAAATGACCCATAGGATGCATGACTCCTTTTGCGAGTGTTTCCACTTTTCACTTTTCCACTTTCCAGTTTCCACTTGATGGCTAGCCAGTCTTTGCGTGAGCACCTTCCAGTGACAAGAAATGACAGCTGTGGCTGCTCTGACTGCTGTCAAATACCTCTTGCTTTTCTTTCAAGTTATACTCTGTCCCTTTAACGTCCCACTATGGCTCATTCTATCTCTTGGGGCCTTAGAGAATAAGAAAAATGCCTTTTCCAAGCATTTGAAGGCAGAACTGTGTCAGCTCATGCCTTCCCAGTGTCCAGTTCTACTTCCAAACTTGCTAGGTGTTCTGCCCCCAGGAGCGGAGCACCCGTTGAAACGTTCTCCAGTTTACCTAGGAGAGGTGTTTACCTGAAATGGCCAAAAGCAGCCCTGAGCAGGGGAGGATCAGAGTCTTCTCTGGGAGAAGCAACAGTCATAGCTGAGGGGAAGTGGAACACCAAGTCCAAAGTAGATCGGGGAACAGAGGAAGGACATCAAACAATAAATTTGTTAGCTCAGAGGGTCAGGAGTAGAGGAGAAACAGGAAGAACAATAGGTCCGGAAAGGCAGTTCAGAACTAAGACCACGAATAGTAAATTTTTACAGGAGCTCCCCTTTCACATAGCTATGCACATGTGTCCCATGGCCATGCAGGGCCAGACACCCTCAGTTAAACCCTGGGAGTTCTTCAAGTATTTATTATACAATAGGTTATTGAAACTGCCTTTACAACACATTCGAGAATCTTGTTGAACATCCCATCAACTCACTGGTCATTAGTTGGTAGAATCACCTGACACATTGGGGTAACAGGGTATCTGAGAGGTGTTGAAAATGTACACCAGGGCATGGAGCAGTCTTTCTTTGCTCAGGAAAAGTCTCTTTAGTGGACTCTTTTAATTAGGTAAACATAGCTTGATAGAGTGCATGGGAAGCACTTAGTGTAGCCAGTAAGACCAGCTCTCTTCATCTCTCCTCTTAGACTGAGTGAGTCTCAGCGTTTTTGGACGATGGGAAGTAAGTGAGGCAGAGGTGGCCATGAGGCAGAGAGATACAGATCATCTTGCAGAATGAAGCAGTTATATTAAAAGTAATGTAAAAGTGATCATACCGTGTTCAGACTGTGAGTGACCAAAGCAGGTCATCTTGTTTGAAATGGCACAATGGCATTGTTCCATACCTAGTTCATAGCTGTTCCCCTCTTCCAAATTTCTTAGTGGTCACTAACTGGTGACATCATTCACAGTTCATGGAGGATCTAACGTCATTCACCCAGATCAGGAAATTTGTGTGCACTTAGAACAGCGAATTTTGTTCATTCAGCTAGCCTCTCCAGCTTCCTCTTTGCCAGGCTCTGCGGCGGGTGCTGTGGGTACAGCTGCAAGCTCTGTGAGTGCTCTCTCACCACCCTCCAGTTCCCTTGGAGCACATCATGAGCTTCTTGCTTTGTACCTGCTCACACACAGCAAGATGCCTGGAGACCCTGGAAAGTTCTCTAGCTACTAAGGTTAACTTATCCTTTAAGATTAAAATGAAATGGAAAGCCCAGCTTCCCTCTCCAAATCTCTAGATTATTCATTTCCTAATCACTTGTGGGCTCAGCTTCCTGCTTCTGTTAATTCTCAATCCCCACTCAACCCTTCACCTCCTATGTGCATGGCCTCTTTTCCACACCATGTTACCCCACTGTGGAAAATGCTCCAATTCCTGCACCCCCACACCCTACTGTCAAGAAAAACAACACACTGTGTCAGTTCATTTCCTCTGAGATTTGGTCACCAGGACAGAATTAGAAATGCAAGAGATTTCTTGAGGAAATCT